AATTAATTTTTTCTAAACGGCCCTCTGAATACCAAAAAAGGAATTCCTGGTTCGATTCCTCGTGGTGACAAACTTTTGCATTTCGTGTTGACGTGGTTACTGACGGTCCTAATTATGAATATGGCATTCATTGTTCATGCTAACTCCATTTTGCGCGAATTTTGAAACGTCAACTCGAAATGCAAAAATTTGTCACCACGAGGAATCGAACTAGGGACCCCTTTTCTGGTATTCAGAGGGCCGTTCAGGAAAAATTAACCATGGTTCTGTGGTTCCCGCATGTGCCCCTATATCATGCAAAAGACCGTTTTCAAAAAGCTTGGCACGCCCTGAAAGACCTTCCTGGTTAGATGGGAAACGCTGATGGAATAGCTAACCTCCATTCAGAATGGTTTCCCTTACTTGAACTGATTAGATATGTAAATAAGCAATGGTTAGCAGCTCCTTGACCAGCGGATTAACAGTCCCTCATCGATCAATTCGTATTTTTGTCATTGCATGTGGATCGGTTATCCTCTTTCCGAATAGAGGCCGAATTAGTTCTTTCTGCATACATACTATATTATTAGCTGGCCATAGAAAAACTAAGGCACTCACATAGGCGTGCTAAAAAAAGAGGGAATTATATAGGATAGAATAGCGTTCGCCTTCCCTTTTGGGATACGCCACGAACTTGACTTTTATTCGGAGCCGAACTAGCTTTTGAATATTACATGAACTATTCAATGACTTACGGAGCCAGCCAATATACAAATCTGTATTCCTATTTTCCCAGCCAGACTCTTCTTCTTCTCCCTAGCGTTAGTCCCGCGCAGTCGCAGGGTCCGCTGTCTTTGTCAGCCGTCGCCACTTTGCTCTGTCCAGGGCATCTTCTGCTGTGGCCGGACTTCACTTAGGTCCTTCTTGATCACGTCTCTCCACCTCTTCTTTGGGGCTCCTCGCGGTCGCTTGCCTTGCGCTTCGAAGTCCATTGCTGTTCTTATCGGATGATCCTGTGGCCTCCTTAGCACGTGCCCATACCATCATCGTTGCTTCCCTCACCTTCAGCTGGACAGGGGCAGTCTGCATGACCGCTCTGACATCCTCGTTTCTGACCCTGTCCAGTCGCGTCCAGCCGCAGGCCCATCTCAGCATCCTCATTTCGGCGAGTGAAGCTGCCTTTCGTGATTCTTGTTCAGGGGCCAGCACTCGCTGCCGTAGAGCATCGCAGGCCTTACCACTGTCCGGTACACCTTCCCTTTGAGCGTTCTGGAGCACCTTCGGTCAGAGGATTCCAGTGGATTCCCTCCATTTCATCCAGGCCGCGAGCGCCGAAGTTTGGCGCGCTCAACACGCGAGTGGTGGATCAAATCCTGGGTCGTGAGTCGCCCGGGCCAACCAAGCCTTCCATCCCTCCGGGGTCGGTTAATTGGTACCAGACTTGTCTGGGAGGATAAAAACACTGACTTGTACATCGGCTGGCCCCCGCAAGTCATTGTATAGGCCACATCGCATTCAAACGCCACTACGAATGTACAAATGGAAGTAGAATGCGTGCCGCATCCCAAAAAGGGATTGATCAACGGCAAATGCTTTATCCTTTTTATTTATTTATCCACCGTTTTGAACTTCGTATAGCATACACTTCCTGCATCCACACTTCCGTCGGCCAGCTAGAGCGCCTCCAAAAGGTATTGGGGAGTCCTCTACCTTTTTTTTTTTTTTTTTTTGCCTTTCCCACTCCCGTCCACAATCGGCTCTGTACCCTCTTCAGAGCTCAGGATCTTAGTCTTTTTGACATTCAGCCGGAGCCCGCCTTCTGCCAAGACCTTCTGCATTTCTGCACCTTTGGCCTGCCTTTTTTCCAGACAGACCAGCACCAACTAACTGCCGCCGAATGGAAGAAAACTGCTACAGAATTCTCGAGCTCCGGAGGCGAGCAAAATCGAGGCTTTGTTCGAGGAAGGAGCAAAACAAATCATGATTCTTTTCGGAATGACTTCCTCAACACAACGTTTTTTCTTCAATGATTTCAACGAGAAATTTTCAACTCAACAACGACCCTCGGGTTTCGCTGCAAATCACCTGCCGCTAACAAATATGTATGTGCAGCATGAAGAACTTTGCGGCTGAACACGCTGCAGCATGGAGGTACGTCGGACGTCCTTTTCAAACCATTCACTAGCGAGAGCGCGGGCGGGAGGCGCACTTGTTATCGGTGAACGATAACAAAGAGTGCCGACCCGGAACGGTAGAACAATTAGGACAGCTCATAAGTTCGTCTTCAAGTATTGATTGGCATCGGAAAAAGCATCGATCGATCGGCAAATGAGCTAATCGCGAGTTCTGTAGAGCTACTGTGGAAGGCTGGCATGGAAATTCGTGTAGAAAATGCCACAGGATTCCCTCTTTTAACCCACGAATGCTTGGCTATGTTGACTTTCAATGAACACATTTAAATCGTTGTTACAGAAGTGGTAGAGTAGCTGGAGGAAATTGAGGTAGGATCTTACAAAGGCACGACAGACACCATCCTTCAATCAGAGATCCGAATAGAGTAACGCATCGCTTCCGAATTGTAGCTACCGTAACCCTACAGTATCTTATCCTCCCGCAGGCAATTCTTCCTCGACGACCTCATCCAATGAGTGCGTGATCGTTCCCTCATTCCGTTCAGCTGTGAGGAGGTTACAAAAACGAATCGATTGCGTAACCTGCTGATGGTAAGTGTCGTTATGTCGCCCATTAAGATGACCCAAGCAGACTAATCTCAGTCTATAGGGGTACCCCGTAAACAGCAGAGAACCCCGAGACATCAGGGCTCGTGCGATGCGCAGACGACCTCTTCAGTCCGCTTCCCGTCCTCTTAACCCTCTCACGCCTCTACATCTCTTATCTACGGCCGAACAGCTCCTCAGCTTGCGCGTCTCAGTTACCGTAGCGCAATCAGCCTTACGTAACGGCCGCTGGAATGCTGCCAGTCTTTCCACAGACTTCCTGCGATCCTCAGCCATTCGCCTACTACCCCTACGGTTACACGTGAGTTTTCGCTACCCATTCAAGATAAAATACTCTTCCTTTAACATGAATTCTTTTCAGGGTTCCATTTCCATCGAATTACGGTACCCCAGCTTCTGCGGCCGTTGCTGTTACTCAGCCATGTCCTGCTCCAATTTATTATCAAGACACCGGTTATGCCAAGTCATCGGCTTCATCATGTAGCAAGTCAGAGTCTGATTTGTCTTCAGATGAAGCTTACAAAAGGTTCGCGCAGAGTTCTGTTCCTAACATTATTGATTTTTTTCATGTACACATATCTTACTATTTTTATTTTCTTATATGCCACATTATTTCCTGCATGCCTTACTCCAATATACACATGTTGGTAGAGTGTGGTTGAATTACTGAAATACCACTACAGCTGACAACGTGAAGTAATGTGTTTCAGTTTAAATCTGTTCTTATTGGAGTCGGAAATTATTTTATATGGCTCAGTGTTCATTTTCATTTAATTGATTATGCGCTCGGGTTAAATAGACGCGTTATTGACTTCGTTCCAATAGAGAGAGGCACGGGCCACAGGCAATTTTGTCTCATGTATTTATTTTATTTAGTAGTAATAATATCACAGATCATAGCTCATCGCTATCGTATCATAATAATGTCGTAGGGCTTTTCCAACTGAAGCGTTTGAGGTAGGGAATCCATGATGAGGTGGTTCCGATGCTAAGTTTTCGCGAGGTAGGCCGGTACTTTTTCAACCATGAAAATTCGAACAGCCAATATGCTTGCTCCTTTCTCCAGACCGGAAAATGGTGGTGGGTTATCGTATTCTTAGGGAGGCGGTCTACGTGATTTTTAGAGGGTCTAGGTGTGGAAACTGGCACAACGCAATGGCCTGTTTTATCCATACTGATATTTTTAGTAAGAACTGAAAAATTTTTGTGGACTCAAAATGGTTCTAGCCCGAGAGTCTCGACCACTCTGTACGAAGGCGTTTAATGTATAATTAGCATATGATAGTAAGCATACTTGCTACATTTAGTACCTCCTTAGTTTCATTATTTACTATTAAATAGTTATGGTCACGTTTTTTACTTCGTGATGTCACGATTACTGCTCAGAATATTTATTTCTCTACTCAAAAGTCACTTTTATTTTGAAAAAGGGTCATGGTTCTAATTTTACCAAGAAAACTGGCTATCCACCATACTGCTTCCACGAAGAATATAGAAGGATGAAGACATGGCGCACCCAAGAGCTATCAAGAGCTACATTGGGCATTTTTTCTGCTTCGTTGCATATGCTGCAATTTGATTCTACCGTTTCAGAAGACGCGAAAAACGTGATCGTAACAATGAGGCCGCCCGAACATCACGTCTTCGACGAAAAGCTCGTGAAGGTCATGTGCAGAAGGAAGCTGAGGTGCTGCAGCAGGAGAACGAAGTGTTGAAGGTCGAAGTCGGCGAACTTGAAGAAGGTAAGGCTCGCAAACGACCTTCTAGAAAGATCTCATATTTATTTGGCTGTATTTCAGGTCCTGTACAGTCTCCAAGACGAGGTCAGAAATCGACTCAACGTCGTTGACGTCGAAAAAACGTGGTTATAGTTATGTGTTGTATTATTATTTATTTCAGAACATTGTATTACACCTTCCATGACCAGAACTTGTCAAGCTAACACGTTGACAAACAATTAACTGCCTATATTTTTTTCTATTGCGGTTTCTATTTACGTTGTAGTCTTCGGATATCATTTCACTGTGTAGTTCGGTTGTGTTTGCTTGTGTATGTACAGATTTCCTCGCATCGTTAAAATTTGTATGAAAAAATAAAAAGATGAATAAAGAGATGAGAATTAATAAAAATAAGATTTTAAAAAAAATGCTGCCTCTATTGATTGCTCCAAATCGATCTTATCGACATGAGCATCAAAAATGTTGCTTTGCTTGTGTTTAGAGTGATTACAGTGTCTGACTTGGGCGACACCCTCGACTCAAACTCTAAAAAGTTTTTTATTAGGTAATAAAAAGTGAAAGTACATGGTATAGTAGTATAAAAGTACCTCCAAAATCTTTAACTGAGCTAGAGCGTTAGCAGAACATCTTCACACAATACCACATGATTTGCACAGCGCAATCTCAGCTAACAGAAGTAACTAATGGGGCACCGACAACTGTTATATATTCTCTATCTTCTTTGGGATTGCAAGTTTTACGAAAGGGCCAAAACGGCCTACTTATTTAATTCTATTATACTTAATCACGCTTCGATGCCAATTCCACTTGACTGTTCCGATTTCCGATCCCCGATCCCTATCGAATGTCACCAAGTAAGCGACAAGCCAAAACTATTGCTGCATTATTGGTCCATGATTTCAAAGCTGATTATGCGGTCAAATTTCCGCGATATTCAACGCAGTGCCTCCACGTGAAAATCTTTGTCATGCAGGCATATGTTTTGGTAATTCACTGGTACTAGCACTAGTACTTTTACTAGCACTGGCAGCACCTGCCTTATTTACAGGCGAGTCGAATCATTTTTCTGGCCGGGGAGACAATGAAGAAATTCGTAGGCTTCCAGGCGCTTGAGCTTTGATATAACTGGCGTCTCAACAATAGTAATGAAATTCAACGTTTCATTCAAAGGGGCAGGAGTATAATGTATTCAAAAGTGGCACCATTTACCTCGCACACCTCTTGGAGGTCTAATCGACGGTTGGATTTTACCCAGGCCAACCAAACCCTCATCTCCCGAGGAGAAATTGGTGAAGTGCCTAGAGGGATGAATAGAAAAACTGAGTATATCGGCTGGCCCTAGCAAGTTCTTCTTCACGCTGGATCGCAATCAAGCGCCAAAAGAAATGAGAATGGAAAAAATGATGCTTAGCGCATCTGAGCTTATAGAATGGTCAATGACGAATGATTATATCAAAAAAAACAGGAAGAACCCCGACTGCCTTGCAATTTCGACGCGCTAAACAAAATTCTTGAAGGTGATGGTGAAATCGAAACTTTCCCTCCCACAGAAAGACTTCAACTCCTCAAACCAGTACATTGGTTCCACAGTGGGTAAGCTCCCGATAGACAATAACGTAGATCAATTTTTACACGAAATATCTCTAGAAATTTGGTTGTGAGGGGATATCTAGTGCTCCCAAAAGAGGATCTATGTATGCTCTGAAATTATCTGGGCCATCAACTTCCAATGAGATAACGAATGGGAACTTGGAAAAATCGGTATGGTCAAGAAAATTAATCACAAATACATATGGAGACCGAAGGTGCTACGTGAACTTTCCAAGCTAGTTGTAAGCGGTCAAAGTTGGTAGATAATGCAGCATTAGATATGAGGCGAGCCAATTTATCTGCATCAGCATATTCAATTTTCTTTGAAACTTTACTTTTAAAGTGGTATACCTACGACATTCATTTTCGATACAGGGCTACCTGACGCTAGTTTTGCGTCAGGTAACCCTTATCAAAAATCCTGGCGCTAGTTTGGCACCACAAGCTAGCTTTTTCGCTGCATTTCTGGCTGAATTGAGCGCTCATTTTGCTTGGAAGGTCCCTAGCAATTTGGTCTTCATATCTTCTGAGCGCATTCTTGCCATATCAATTACCCAGATCTTTCATCCAAAGGTTCTATGCTATGGTTTCCTGGTATGTATGTTTCCGGTTTCTGATTATAGTTTTTTTGCTGTCTTTCCTTTTTTTGATATATTTTTCTGATAGTTTTTTTCTAGTATTAGCTTTTGATATATTTTCTTGTGATATTATACTTCTAGCTATGGTATAGTTCTATGGTAGAAGGCTTCCCTGGTTAGCCATTACTTTGCTATTCCCATCTAACTGATATCCATCGCGAACGAATACAAGCTTGCACCCTTTATGCAAGCCAGTAAAATCAATTACTGACCACTTTAGCCAAACTTTTGCTCCCTATTTTGAAGGAATAACCTTTTCCGCGTTCATACAATGTCACTCCGCGATCGCTCGGAATTGGTTGCTGGCCACTCCATCACACCTTACCGGTTGTTCTCGGTTATTTGCTCATGCGGTTCATTTCGGACTTGAGTATGCGTCCATCGACACGCGGATGGGAACGTGTCGTTCTCATAGCTTGGAGTGACAGATGTTTTGTGTGGTAGAGGGCAGGCGACTGCATGGTTGGGGCCCTACCGGCCTTGTCTCGACGTTCTCCCCGTTTCGCGCACTCTTCTCTTTGTTTCGCCGTCCGGTAGCGTGCTCTCTCGGCGCGCCATGTCCTCGTCTGACCCCGTGCGCGCAAGACGCCATTGGTGGCTTGTCTCACTTGGCATTCGCAATTGTCACGTACGGCTTGCGTATACTGTAGTATTCCATTTCGCTACTAATGCTGCCAGCTTTTTCGCTCCGGACAGCTTCGGTCCACACCCTTCGCTTATACGCCTTTATGGATACAAGTAGGATTTTCTTCGGGTTCAAGTTCGTTTTTTCTCTGCTCCCTTGTTGTGGGGTTTGCTCGTCGTTAGTCTATTAGTGTCTCTTTGCTCAAGGTTACATAGCTTACCTTCTGGGATCCGTTGGCCCTCAATAGGCCTCAGATCCCTTCCTGGTGGCCTTCCAGAGGCAATATGGCCATCAGTTAACCCATAACTCTTCTCTTTCCAGCCCATCGCTGACCACCTATGGCACTCCAGTATCATCGATGCCTCCGTCGTACTATCAGGACACCTCGTACAACAAATCCGAGTCAGACTCAACGCCAGAGGAAAAGAAAAAAGACCCAATGTCCGTGAGCACAGACGCGACAAACGACCACCGTTCGTCCTCAACTCGCCGGGAAGTTCAAGGCTTTTTTATCTTGCATATTGTTTCAGATTTGTTTTTGTTTAGCACTGCTTTTTATCCTCACAGATAAGACTTTCAGTGGCCGTATACGGTATCGCCATGGTATGTTTAGTGAGTTAGAGAGGTGAAAGCGGCTGAAAATCGATTTCTAGGGAAAGCTTTCGAATTCTTACTATAGCAGATAAAATATAATAGTTAGAAAAAGGAAATAAGGGAAATAACGGTCCAAAATATTGATTTTTATTCGTATTACGGTAGAACTCTTTTGCAGTGCGAGACAGTGTATGAGCAGAGCGAGTCAGGATCCCACCATATGCCATGACCTCATCGTTATCTTTCCAGGTATCTCGCCAAACGTCATAAGAATAACCTAGCCGCACAAAAATCACGGAAAATCAGGTCAGGTTTTTATTATCTTATATGGTATGAACTTACAGTATCCTCCACAGAAATTACGGTACCACCGGCTTGAAGTTTCTATCATAAACCCACTTGAAAAGCCGTAGAATGTTCCGCAATTTGAAGACCTCAAAATTTGAAAGCCCTACCCAAACTAGAAATTTGGGTATCTAAGTGAGTATAAAGTGCATTTTCAGGCGACAACGAGAGGAATCGTTAACGAAAACTGCTGAGATGCTTCGTGCAGAAAACGACAGTCTGAAAAGTGAAATCGTCCAGTTGCGAGAAGTAAGTATTTTTGAAAAACATAAAAAATAAGCTGTCACGGCCACCTTCAGCCTGAATCTCAAGGCACCGGAAAAGTATTAGATAATACTTAATCCAAAAGAGGGTACTAGATGAAAAAGAAAGATAAAATATGAAATAAAGGCGATAGATAAGCAATAGTAGGCCAGATGTTAGCAGAAAGGTACAGTAACTTCTCGTGAGACCGTCAAGATCTTTTCGAGAAAAGTGTTCGTCATAACGGATTTGAGAAACGCTTGTCAAAACAAGGTGGGCGCTATTGCAAGATATGGGGGCATTGTGGTGGCGATGCAATCAAAACCGCATGAAATCTTTCTTGCTCGAGAAGGTGAGGCGCGTTAACGATCTTCTAAAAAAGAATTCCACATTTACTCGACACTCTTTCCTTTTAGTTGAAAACGGGTCTAATCCTTAGACGGGAGAGAAGAGACTTCAGGGTGCGTGAGCCATTTTCGCTTTGTCCGGAGTTGCTGAACTCTTCTGGGCTCGGTCCTAGAGGATGCTAGAGGAAACCCCCGTATATTGCGATAGAGCTGCAGACTGCACCAATTAGCCTGCATATCAACTGAAATGTTATTTTAGTGTTGATCTGGTGTACCAGGTTAAGTGAAGCAGGTCTTCACTACCAACTGCTGCCAGCTCAACTTGATCTTAATTGAACGCTTAGGCATTCGCTTTCCTCTGGGCATCAAAATGAAAGACCATTCGTCACTGATTAGTCATTTTCTTGGGTGTGCCATGCATTCTCTTTAAATTCAGAGTGCTAAAGGCATTGAACCGCGACATGGCCCATGCAATGACTTGTGGGCCTAAATTCGATCACTTAGACCCTGTAAAGTGGAATGGTTCCTTTTGGTTGGCTAACCGAAGTCTGAGGAAGCCATCGCTACTCACGGGGACGTCCAACACTTGTACCAAGAGATATTGGGTGAAGAGCACCAGTTCTTCAAAAGTACCATCCTCAGGTAGCAAACCGATGAGGGACCGATAGATTGGTGGTAGAGAAAAACATTAGAGAACCTTTGCCGTTGGCAGGTCCATAGAAGTGAACACTTGAGCGGGAGCATGTCTTCCTTGGAAGCTATCAAATATGAGTACGGTCGCCCATAGCACTATGAGAAAACCTCTGATAGAAATGGAGGAGACAGTGGAAGAAAGGACTCGAGGTAAAAAAAAAGAGGAAGAAAGAGGAGGAAGATGGAAGAAAATATTAGCGTTCTTTAATAGTTTCTGAAGAAACTCATGATTACCCATTAAAATTTGTGACTGCCTTAAAGAATCTTTATAAACAGGCTCTTTTTTTTACTTCAAATCTTTTCTACGAATACTTCTTTCGAGCTCTTACTTACTAGTATTAGTAAGTATAAGTAAACAGCAAACAAGTGTCTGTTCTGGAAAAATCCATATTCGATTCCAGATGATCACCGATCTTCGAAAGCAGCTGAGTTCGACATGCCAAACCCAACCGGTGCAAACGGAGCCGATGCGAGAAACTGGCAACATTACTCGACCGGATGCTTACATGCCGTACCATTCGTTCCAGATTGGCTTCTCCATCAATAGCCAATTATAACCAATGCCAACGGCTCTTGCAGCACCGGTTCTTCACCTACGGATGCGTCTTTCGGGTTCAGCGCATCCACAAATTTCTTGGGATATGGTCTATTTGACCATCTAACTAATAAATATATTCAGTTCTTCTTATTATTTTCTGAGGTAACTCATGATTACTCCTTGAAGTCTCGTCGTAAAAACCGATTAGGAAGAGCTTGTTAACGGGAAACGAGTCATTCAAGTAACACTTAGTATTACCGTAATACTATGCCTCCTGCAGCGCACGCGCTATGTCCACGACGACCCATAACTTGCCATCCAGCTGTTATTTGGGTGTTTACCTTCCCCAGGAGGTGCGGCGGCATCTCTTCTCTTTTCCCGCATCCTCCGCACTCACAATGTCTCGTGCGATGAGTTATTATGCGCGGATTACGCCTCGGACGACATCTGGGGACAACTCGATAGCGTACTGTAGTGGATGTATCACCTGTTTCTGGACACCTGGACTGGGTGAGATCTACAGAAGGATTCGCGCAGACTGCTTTGTCTCCCTGAATCTCTCTTTGAGCCAATCACTATAGGACGAAAAAGTTTCATTACCGTAACCCTTGATATAAACGCGTCTCAAGATGACTGAAGGATTGTGTAAGAAATAAAAACTGATTTTTTCGTTTTTCTTTGGTTCTATTTTGCTACCGAATTTCCTCACCGAAGACTTTCAAGGACAGAGGACGTATAACTCAATGCACAACTCGATTTTTTTCTCGCAGAATCTGAACACTCGCTTGTCCGTTCTACGCAATTTGTACCTCGGTCAAGGGCTTCAGGACAACAATACCTCTGAGATACTTTCTGCCGCCCGATTCATACCTCACCTATCGGTCATCTTCTATACGACCCAACATGAAAATATATTATCACCAAACTACTCCGCGTGAAGCTTGTGTTTCCCCTCCTCTGACATGAAACTCTAACATGCCTCAAAAGAAGAAATCTAAACGCTAACCCCGCTCGCGCTCACCTCGGGGCCTTAGTCCCCTCACACACGACCTCGCCTTGTTTACGCGCCATGCTGAATCCCACCCTTCCTGAGGGCTCTCTTGTTTCGACGTCTTTCCACCGGCATCGGTTGCTCATGAACGACCTTAGAGAGGGTCCACCCGCATTACTCCAATCTCTGCGTGCTCTTCAATTGTCGCCAAAGTGAGGCAAAATCTCGAGATTCCGACATTTCTGCTAATCGCATGCTCCAAACACCGCCCTGCGAGTTTGAGTCGACAGCTTCGAGAACGTAGTATTCGTTTCGCCACTGTTGCGTTCTGCTGTCTTCGCCACCCAATATACCACCTCTCGCGCTAATCGCGCCCTTGCGTCCGCGCATATTCTCATCGCCCCGAGCGCCCCCTAGGAATCTGCAATGAAGTCCGAAGTGAGTAACCGCAGCCAACTGGCACTCGCGCCTTCGCCCTCGTGCCGCGAGTGGGATCACAATCCTTGACTGTGAGCCGTCAGCCAGTGACCAGCCTTCCAACACTCTCGGCGTCATACTCTGGTACACCATTCCTTGTCCTGGGAGATGACTAGTCCATGGACAACGGCGAATGCGCAATTCAACACTGCCCTTTACTACATCTTTTGATGGACACTAGAAATCCCTGTGGCCGCAGTAAAAAGCGAAATCGGCGGAAGAGAACTACCCAATGTCCGGATGCTAAAAAGTTCAACCGAACGACAAACATTTTGCCGCTTTGAGTCGCGCATGCTGGCCCATACAATCGACTCGCGCGTGCCTAGCGGCTGTACAGTCGCGCTGTTCTTCCTCTCACACGAGAGTCTGTAACCAATTCACCGACCGCGAGAAACTGAACGCGCTGTTGGCCCCGCACGAAGCATGATCGCCAGGATCCATCCCCACACCGCCGCGCCAATGCTTAACGCGTCGCCACTTCCACTACAACAAGTCGACCCCGCTGGAAGCTTCTATTCTTCGATTAATTCACATCGTCTTCTACAATCTGAGATCATCCATTACTACAATTTTGAAATTGATCTCATCAAACTGCTCTCTACACCAAAAAATGTTCAAATCGGCTCAGCACATGTTCTGACCGCCTACGAACTTGCAGGTCGCACGACTTCGTTCATCAGAAGCCATGCAAGTAAAACGACACCACATTGCCCAGTCAGCCCTGTTATTCTTCGCCCTAGGAGTGAAACGCACAGGATTTCTCGAGGCGGAGGAAAGCCCGTATCCGACATCGACCGTCCTTTACGCATCACCACAGCCGCGAATGTTGCGCCACCGCTTTGTCAGATATCGGTCCTAACCTCCGCATTTTCTCAATGGCTTTCCCGGTGCCTAAGTACGACGCTACGGTGCTCGACAGCAAAGCAGCCGACACTGATCGGCGCTGTTCCGTCTTTTCGACTCCGATAATCACACCCTTTTTAGATTGCGCCACGCTTTAACTAACTCTCTCTCCCCGAACTCGCAGGTAATTCTTTTCAAGCGCTAATTTGCGCAATTAATCAAGGATGAAGGGATCAACGCCTTTGCGCCGCTTGATCCGATTCCTCTCTTTGGATCGCGGCCCCGCACTTCTCTTCCATTCTGTAAAATTGCCTTAGTGCGTTTGAACTGCCGCCCTAGCTGGCCTATACAATGACTTGCGGGGGCCAGCCGATGTTCAAGTCAGTGTTTTTTTTATCCTCCCAGACAAGTCTGGTACCAATTAACCGACCCCGGAGGGATGGAAGGCTTGGTTGGCCCGGGCGACTCACGACCCAGGATTTGATCCCGGACCCGCTGCGCCTCGATACAGCGCGCCACTTCGTCCTACACCACTTCCGCTCCCACAGCACACCTCTAATTTGGTCCAATTAGGCCCAATCTCGTCTCACCGCCACCCGGAGGCCGCAGTCCTCGGTCCTCTCAGTTAAGGACTGTACGGAATACTCAAGGCTCTCACTGCTCAACCACACCCATATAAGGCTCCCAAATGCCAACTTGATCCGAGCAATGATCCAGAGACCATAAATGCAGTAGCCGCACCACTTACCACTGCTCCACCTTCGCCCATGCAGTTACTGATAGATGGTTAAATGGTAATTTTTCCACCAGTTCAAATGAAGCCTTCCGACTTACCCTAGCCTTCCGTTCTTTTCGCCCCCGTAAAGGAGTGGAACGAGCGCGAGACGGACTGACATGTGGCAGTCGATCATTGTTGACCGCTGACCACCCTCGACAGGGTCGAACTCCTTCCGTCGAGTGCCGCACCCCCAAGAACCACCACCGGCTCCTCGTTTGCGGACCTGAACAGGCTCGGACACACTCAAAGTGGCTACTTGACGCTTATTTCTGGTCTTCAACTCTGCTGAACTTTCTTCTGTAGACCACTTTTTTGAACCGACCGATCTCAGCGCATTCGGAACGGCGATATTGAGAAGATTTTCGATGGTTTGATTGTCATGCGGATTCCATTACTCATTCTGGTGCTCTTCAATGTGTCACCAAAGCGAGGCAAGTCTTCGAATTCTCACGTTTTCTTTCTCTTCAGACACCTGCGAGTTTTGAGTGACAGCTTCGAGACGTAGTATTGTTTCTCCTGTTCGTTCCTTTCCACTTTGACAGCTGAATTATTCGTTGAGAAGTGATTGATGGGTTCATCACAGCTTTTGGGCCATTCTTTCCCTACTCTTCCGGAATTTATCGAGGATAGTTGAAGCTGTGGGGAAACCTAACGAATAAAACACGTTACGGTGTGTGTATAAAGAATTTTCGAGAGTGCGGGGCTCCGAAAAAAATTAGAGATTACAAGAAAAGAGAGTCAATTCGAAAACTACCAAGGTTCACGGAATATAATGGTGTGACATGGAAGTGTCAAGTAAACTCCTAGAATAATTAGGAGTTGCTTAATACTTCGACTTTCCAGTTCTGAGTTTGCTTCACTGTTTTACAGAAACTATTAGGTACCGGATATCTTAGTGTCGCTTTTCTGAGTTCAGGAAGTTTTGGGGCCGATTACTATGGAAAATCAATATCAGAAAGTCCTTTTTGCTCATTAATACTGCGAAATATGTTGCTTATTGTTTTCTATTGTTGGTTCACAATTTAACTTTCCCCCAATTTTTATACTTTTTTGAAAATTCCTGGGTCCAGTGTGCAAATTCGCATGTGTGTACCAAATGCTTCAAAATTCTTGCTGAGAGCTACAACTTCCGCCCACCAAACCAACATTGCATTTGTTGGAGGGAATACTACCATTTAAAATGCTCATCGGTTTTTCACAGTTTTCTCAAAAGACAGTGAAGTCTTTGAAGTGATGCCCGCAATCGTCGTCAAAAAGGTGGCCCTAGTTAAATCAGTCGAGACGGGGCTGCACCAGTCTTGTGCTGAAATGGTAGGACACCTAGCAGTGACTGATCGATGATGCACGAAACGCTTCAACGATGTTGATTAGAAGAACTCTAATAAAATGTGTCTCATCTGCTACTCACGTGTGCTCAAAAAGGATGCGTTTTTGACCCTATGTGGCAAAAAAGACTCCGGAAAAATTGTCCAGTTGAGCTGGTAAGTTTTAACTTTTCCACCATACAGTGCAGACCCTACTCTAACTAACTGTATACTTCTTTTGTCCAGGCCTAACTTTTTAGCAAGTGAGGGGGATGATTTGTCAGATGATGTCAAAACCGACCTACCTCTCTTTTCGACTCAAAAATTCCTAGCTTTAATCGTACGAGGTTTCCAATCATAGTGGTAACCCAATAATAACAATTAAAGGTGGTCCCGAACTCGGTGAAGAACGACACTAAGACGTCTGGTACCTAATAAAAACGAACTGGGTACGTCCCAACCCTGAGATTTCATCGATGTTTCCGATCCTCACCTAATTACTGGATGGAAATGGTGCAGTGACATGCAGCGCAGCTTACCACGTGCACCGGATCAGTTCCTGAGTTCGCAACGTTTCCTGGTTAACAGCATTCCGTCTCCCGTATGATTGATCAAAACTTGTC